ACTCTTGCACTGCATTCATACAAGAGTGAGATTAGCATGACGCGCAGACTCGCAGGCTCGCAGCTGAGAGAAGGGCTTTACAAAGCACTCACCGCGCACAATGAAGTTGACCAGAACGGCGATGAAGAGGGCAATGCAGATGAGTGGCGGCCCCACGAGGTCATCTGTGAACATCGAGCACCGCATCACAAGGAGGTCAAGATCAGCTACAGCGTCAAGCCTGTCCAGTCCCGCCGTGCTGTTCCGAATCCCACTTACCAAAGTCACCAGCATATCTACGCTTGATGAGAGTCACTCTGCGTTGGTAGCTCCACAAACCCCACAAGAGCGTAGCTACGGCAATGGCGGCATACACGATTCCAAAGTTTCGGATTGTGGAGGCGTTGGGACCTTCTGGCACTTCAGGACCGGGTGTTCCGCCCGGTGTGTCTGGCAGACGATGAGCGAAGTAGCCAGCGCTATTGAAGAGTGCTAGAGAGAAGGAGCCCAGCAGAACCGATACGCGCAACCACGAGATCCAAGTTCTCTGTGGGGGCAAGGAGGAAGAGTGGAAGGCAAGCGTCGGCGCGTGAATATAGGAAAGACCAAGCTCGATCTTTGCTGCACGAAGCCGATGAACAAAAGCCAAGCGATTCACCATCCCTTCCACCTGCGTTCTCCTTAGCACTTCCAAGTTGCAGACACGTGCCAGCCCAGTTGCATGTGGTGCACAAAGCGTTGCATTCACACCAATACCACTCACCTCGTTGGCAAACCAAACCTTAGCCTCGACCCTGACTGCGCTCTTGACTGGTTTTGGTCTAGGCACACGTCTTTCCGGTGGCAAGTCCAGCACGCTTCCATACCCATCCGATCCCGTCGTACCGCTAGGTCCAGCAACAGAGGCAGCGTTGCCGAAGCCCTCTGATTGCTGATGAGAATCGGGAATCAAAGCTTCTCGTTCTGCTTGTTCCGTCTCGGAAGAGGACCAGCCAAGTGCGGATTGCAGAGCTACGACACTTCGCCTGTAGGCTAGCGAGAGCGTGCCTCGACTAGGAGGATCGGCTAGTCCGTGCCCTTGGCGCGACATTTCTGATTGACGAGCAAATCCTCAAGGTCTTGAGATGAGATGAATGCGTCGACTTGGAGACACCTTTATGTTTCTTTGGCTGACCTGGATCAAAATAGTGGAGACTTGAGGGAGGTCCAGAGGGAAGCGAGCTGCTCCGTGCCTATTTCGTATTCAACAAGCTGACGATGAAG